GGCTGTGGCCAGGTTGCAGTGCTGTGTCCCAACCTGCTGCACCAGCAGGGAGGGCCAGAGATCCTTTTTGTTTTTGAAAGATTTATTTATTTTTGTATAGAAGTACCAGGGTGTTGGCCAGAGATGTGGGGCAATGAGAGGCTTCACCGGAGATGTAGTGGAGAGCAGAGCAGGCAGATCTTCTAAAATACACTGCTGAGGGCAGTATGGGGTGACAGAGGAGATGTCTGCTGTGCCATATGTGACTTAGCTCCCTGGGTGGGATCTAACTCAGCCATTGTGGTGGGTCTTCACAGAGGTAGCCATGAGACTTAAAACCTAGACTACCAAGAAGGCCCCCTTTGAGATTTTAAATGAGCTGGAAACAGAACTTCAGATTTTAAAAGGTGGCTTTAGAAATGTTGTAGTCCAGCTCTCTCCTTTTAGAACTATCTTGAGTTCAAGTGACTGAGCAATTCAGATTAGCTAGTTAATGATAAAACATGACTAGATCTCTGCTGCTGTATCCCTATTTAACACTTGTCCAGTACTTTGTTAGGGAGCAGGCTACCCATCAGATACCTTGTGCTCCTTTATAGTACTTATTTTCTTTAAAATTATTCCTGTTAATGTTTCACATACATGTGTTTATTCAAAACTGCTTAAAGAAAGCCTTAATTGTTGTTCCCACTATTGCTGAGGAGATTTCCTACATGATCTACCAAACTATAAAAGGACTCCAGGTAAGATGGCTTTTTTAAAGCTTACTCCCACCTGCTAAATGGAAACTAACCACCTCTTCTCTCTTTTAGAGGGAATTCCACTAGGTAATTCAGAGGCAGACAGACAGTTGCTGGAAGCTGCAAAGGCTGGAGATGTAGAAACTGTAAAGGTAAAATATAATCTTAGTTTTTTTTTTAATTTGGGGCTTTTTTATTATGACTGTTTAATGAATCTGTATTATAATGAAGAGCTTATTTATATGTGCCTTTTTTTTTTAAAGGTAAATGATTTTAGTTTTACTTATCTCAGTAAATGTATACCAATCACAATTTAAATAATGTTTATAGAAAGCAATTTTTGTTTAAAGAACCTATTCATCTTCCTTTAAAAGAATATGGTATATCAAATTATTGTTTACATGACACAAAACAAAGGGGGAAAACAAGTGTCACTGTACATTTCTTCTAGTTTCTTCATTTGTTGCCATCTCTACCTCTGAGAACAGTGTTTGACTGCAGAATATGGTGTTGCCTCTTCTTAGGGCTACTGTTCCCCAGTCTTCAATGTCTGAAATATCCTTCCTTGGAGCAGCCGGCTGCTTCAGTGGGGCTGAAGTTTCAGCTTTTACATTTCCCACTTCTACAACAGTGTTCCCTAGAGTACACCTTCCTTGGTTATGTATTTCTTTTTCTGTAGAGTCCTATGTAATGTTTTAATGCCTATAGTAAATATTTCTCTTACCTACTTGAAAAAGAGCAAGATTACTTTTTACTTCAACTAGTAGAAATTAACTCAGCATGTTTAATGAATTAAATAATTCAGTAATTCAGTGATGTTATTTTAATTCCTAAAACTAGTAGGGAAGGAAAGCCTTGTTCTTCTCCCATGCCCCCAAAACTTTTTCAAAATAGTGCTGGTTTTCTTTGAAGGGCACCTGAGAGGTAATAAGTTCTATAAAAAGCTAGGTCTAGGCCTTCCCTGGTGGCGCAGCGTGTTAAAACACAGCACTAAGAAGCTTAAGCCACTTCCGCATGAGTTCGATCCCCACCTGCCCTGGAGGAGATCCACATGGCAAGGCAGACCTCTCCTGTGGAGAACCTGCTGCTCCCCTCAGCGGTGTACTTTGTAGATCTGCCTGTTCTGCTCCCCTCTCTGTCTCTGGTGAATCCTCTCACTCTCCGCATCTCTGGCCTGTACCCCAGCTCTATATGAATGAATAAATAAATAAATCTTTAAAAGCTAGGTCTGTTGAGTTAAATAATGGCAAAAGTAGCCACTTGAAGCATAGTTGCTTTATCTCCATATTCTCAATCCTAAATAGAACCCACCTCACACAGTCAATTTTAGGATTTCTTAAAGCTAAATATGAGTGAGCTATCAATTTCCCTCATAATACTGCTTTTAGAGGATCCCTTGGTATCTGATAGCTTCTCTCTCCATTTTTGTTAATCTCCAGATACTTTTTGATTTTGTTTTCTTTTTTTTTAACCCCAGAGTTACTCAAGCATTTCATTTAATTTCCACATGTTCTGGTTTATTCTAAGATTCTTTTTGTGGTTAAGTCTAGTTTTATATTATTATATTTGTAAAGATGCCTATTTTGTGACCAGTCCTTCAGAAGAATGTTCCATGAACACTTGAGAAGAAAGTATTCAAGTCTTTTCTGATGGAAAGCTCATTTTCCTGTTTTCTTTTCAGTGATGTAACGACATCTCTAACAATTACTGTATTTTTGTCAATAGGTTGTTCTAGGTCTGTCGATAATTGCTCTATATAAATAGGTTGCCATGTTTTAGGTGCGTTATGGTATCTTAATAAATTTTTCTTTGGTCATTATGTAGTGTCCATTTTTGTCCCTGATTACCTTTTTTGAATTTCTACTTTATCATATTTGAGAATAATAGTTTCTTCTTTCCTATGTGCATTTTTAGCTTTGAAGTACCTTGCTCCAAAGTTTTAAGTTGTTTTTTATCTTTCAGGTTTTTTTTTTTATAAAAATTTATTTATTTATGCATACAAGAACTGAGGCACAGGCCAGAGGTGCAGGGCATGAGAGATTCACCAGAGACAGAGTGGAGAGAACAGGAGGCTCCACTGAAATGCACTACTGAGGGGAGCAGCGGGTGAGACAGGAGAGGTCTGCCACACCATATGGGTCAGCTCTCTGGCGGAGTACTGAGCTCATACTTGCAGTGCCTTATGGTAGCCTGATAGCACTGTCTTTAACTTCTGCACTACCAGAGAGGTAGAAGAATGTAACATTTTTTGTGTCGTAGGTCTGGTGCTTACCTACTGTTAGTTTTCTTTTTGTCGAGGAAAACTGCTGTTTTACCTTAATATTTGAATGATAATTTTACAAGATAATCTTATCAGGCAGTTCCTATCTTAGGATTATAAACATTTCATTCCACTCTCCTTGCCTGCAGAATGATTGTGACAGATTTTGAGGGAAGCCTAAGTTGTATGTGTTTGTGAATTACTTTTTTACCTGGCTTCCTGTGAATTTTTTTTTTAAAGATTTATTTATTTGTGCATGCAGAACTGGGGTACAGGCCAGAGGTGCAGGGGCCGTGAGAGGATTCACAAGAGACAGAGTGGGGAGCAGAACAGGCAGGCAGATTGTCCAGGTACACTGCTGAGGGGAGCAGACTTCAAGAGAAGTCTGCCGCACCATGTGGATCGAACTCATGAGGAAGTGGCTTAAGCTTCTTAGTGCTGTGTTTTAACCCACTGCACCACCATGGAGGGCCCTCCTGTGAAATTTTTATCTTTGATTTTTGATGATTTAATAATTACGTGTCTCGGTGTAGGTCATTTTGCATTTAGAAATGTTGGTATCCTCTCTGCTGACTAAACATCCTTGCTTATCCATTCTCAGCTAGTATTTCTTTGAACTAGGTCTCTGCTCCTCTCTCTCTCTCTCTCTCTTTCTCTCCATCTTTTGGAATACGCATTATGTTTATGTTTCCTCTTCTAAATTCAGTCTAATATTTCTCATAGAGTTTTCCTCATTTTTCCTAAGTGTCTGTTTTGGGTGATTTTCTATTTGGACATCTGTATCTTCCATTTCTGAAATTCTCTCTTTTGCTAATTTAATTCATAATTAAAGTGTTTTCCATATTTGTCTCTATTTCATTCACAGTCTCTTAGTGTTCTTTTAGTATTTTCAGTCAGTTTGGGGATTTGTTCCTGGATCTCCCGTCTAAGATCCTGCTGCATCTGCCTAGCTGTCTCTGATCTTTCAATAGCTTATTTAATATTTTTAATAATGTTGCTAGTTGCTCTACTTTGTATCATTTGCATATATCCCAGAACTTCTGTTATTGTTTTGCTTTCCCATCTTGTGTTTAGATGTTCCTTGCTTCTTGGGCATGTGTGTTTCCTTATTTACCTTTTTGCATTTGGGGCAGTGAAGGTTAACTTTGTTAATCCCTACCTTGGAGTGAAGTAGGGGCAGGGAGGAAGGCTGAGGTTGAAATACTTTGTTCAGTGAGTGTGGTCACCTCTGCTACCTGTTCTTGCACCATAGCAAATTCTGTTCAGAGAGTTAGTTGTCCTAACTTTCCACACTGTTTCCTTGCTGCTTTGTTTTGCGGGTCACTGTACCCCCAAACTTGCATCTCCTATTGAGGCATAGTCTATAGAGTTCAGTATTCAGGACTAGTTGACCCTGATAGGTATAGAGCAGCTAAGTAGGCTGTGTGCCCTATCACCCAGCAATGACAGTAGACAGTGACTGCTACCACCTTGCCTGCCCACACAAGCTGCAAGCACTCCATACAGCCTTCTTGAATCTTTCCAAGGTTCAAGACTGAGCCCAGCTGGACTCCACCTGAAGTTATTTTGTTCTCTAAGTTCCAAGAAAGCAGTGTAGGGAACATTCTTGCACACTTCTTTCCCAAAAGGTCCCATGTACCTTGATACATGTTTTACACAAAATGGAAATTACTATTAATATAATTGGTACTTAGGTTACTGTAGTGGAAATGGTAGTAGTGATAATGATAAAATTAATGTACTGTCTTTCAAAAGATGAAAAATGGATGAGAGGACCAGAGAACTTCTAAAAATAATGAGGTGAAATAAAAATAAATGGTAAACTGTCTTAAGTATATATGTCAGATATTTGAAAGTTGTACAAAATGAATTTAAAGAAGTCCCATTATATTTGTTTTGTGTTCCATCCTACAGAAATTGTGTACTATTCAGAGTGTCAACTGCAGAGACATTGAAGGACGCCAGTCTACACCACTCCATTTTGCAGCAGGCTATAATCGGGTGTCTGTGGTGGAGTACCTGTTGCAGCATGGAGCTGATGTGCATGCCAAAGATAAAGGGCAAGTACAGTTGCATCCTTCATTTTTCCATTATCTTGAGTTTTTTAGGAAAATCTGAAATTTTTCTTTTTTTATAACAGTTTATTTTTACATTATTTTTGTACTTTT